TCAAATAATTTGCACAAGGGTGTATATACGATCCATCACTAAAGGTGCTGGAATAATGCAAAGTTCCTTGTCCTGTTTTATGAAGTACCTGATTCTATCTGTCACGTTTTACCTGTCCAAGTATCATATTAAAAACGGAGTTTTGCGCCTATGTCTGGGCTAGAGTTGCCGAATCTTCTCTTTCCAGACATTATACAGGTCAAAATCTTTTAAACGGTCTGGCAGGGGGAGAGCCTAACTTATTTTCTATTTGACGGCTTCTTTCCCACAGACGTAACGAATGATCACCTGAGTTAAGCAAAGTCGAGCCTGGTAATTACCAAGATGGATGAGAGTTTGCAAATACCACGGGTTATAAGCTTGAATTTGCAATCTGAATTGTTAATAGCCGATTTCCAATTCCATTTGAGTTGGTTATACCTACTTGCACGCAAATACCGTTTGGAAAAATATGAAGCTACCTCTTCTTCCTCATCTATGGATTAATTAGTAAAACTTGCATCACTAAAAAGCTTGATTATCTCCAAAAGAAAAGCAAAATAAAATAATACTGCGTACAAACAAATGTAATTCTATGGGTAATTTAAGATTAGGTCCATATTTTATTTCACCAGTCCAGAACGTTACAGTTAAGACACACCATGTAAAATTCACGAGGTCGAAACACTTACGTTATCTTCGAATTCTATATGCAAGAAAAGAAGTTCCAATTAGGAAGGTTTTTGTACGCCAAACAGCAAATTTGTAGAACAAATTCCCGCGAGGATGATTCCCTAGTTAATTTCAGTGATTATTAATGGTTCATTATTTAATAATTGAAATTCATCGGAATAAACGCGCGGCATTATACTGATAACACGTCAACGGTGATTTATCACGACTGCGTAATGAGAGTTTGACATACAAATGCCGTTATAATTTAGTTGCATTATAATTCAACTAATTTAGTAATATATCACTTAACTTCTTCGAAATATTTCACCTCACCGTGTGAACAGTGTCTGAGTAAATAATTCTCCCATTTGTGGTGCAGATTTTTCCTTGGTAATTGAACTAAAAAATCATCAAGTAGAAAGACGTATGGACACTTATTCGAACCAAAAACATTAATTCAAGACGTAATAGAAACTATTAATTGATGTCGCCTATATCTGACAGAAATGCATTTAATCTTTTTTTTTTTTAAATAAGGGTTTACTATGGACGTTCTGTTGTCCGTTTCAGCATTTCAGTTTTTTTTTACTCTTTGTACCCTATCTATCTATCTATCTATCTCATTCTGTTCATTATCTATCTATCTATCTATTCTGTTCATTATTTCTCTCTCTCTCTCTCTCTCTCTCTATATATATATATATATATATATATATATATATATATATGACAAAACCCAAACGTAAAAACACGCCATCTTCTGAAAAAGTATCGTCTGAACAAAACTTTCAAGTCAATGTGATGAATGACGGCAGTTTCGTTCAGAAATATCTAAAATGTCGGCTGTATACAGACATTTTCTCAGATCGATGCGTGCAGGTTTAAGATTGAACTTTCCTTCATCGAACCTCATGGTCGAGCATTACAGAAACACAAAGAACTGTACCAGATAACAGAAACCACATCTCTTCGAGACTTTCAACAGCAGCAATAACATAAATGGATAGCTTATTTGACTCACAATAAAGAATAATAATATAATCAATATTTTGACGTCTCACATTACTCCCCACCCCCAAAGAAGCCCCCCATCAATATTGATAAAACACATTAAAAGCTACTGCCCTTGAGAAACTATTTTCGTGATATTTTTAAGAGAAAATTTAATAAATTTGAACCGAGAAAAATTTGTGTGATTCAAATTCTGATATATAGAGCTAAGATGCCAGCCTAACTCGCAACCCAGTTATCTATCTATCTATCTATCTATCTATCTATCTATCTAACTATATATATATATATATATATATATATATATATACCCAAGTATAGGATTGATGTATACGGAATAAATTCCAATGATCAACAATTACTATTCTTAAAAGAGTGCTCAATACAAAGTAGAGCGAATATAATCATTTATTCGAAAATTATAACATAAATATGCTATAATATATATATATATATATGCTTCATTAAAGACGACAAGGTACTTCGATTAAACTTTTTCATTTAAGTTTTCTTGTGCTCGAAAAAATGTTTTCTTTTCTGGACACAGATTCCATTGAAACTGTCCAAGTGTTCTATAGTTCCGAGCGCTTTCGGCTATTCTTTTAACCATTATCAAGGATGGTTTTATTTTTACTTTTTCACTGGGTGTATTAGTTGTGTGTATTATCTAGAGTTATAGGAATGTTTTATTTTCCGAACACAGTCAGTATATTGTGGCCGTGTTCGCAGTTAATTTATTGAGTTTTTGATTTTTCTTTTTTTTATTATTAAGACTTCCACTATTTTTAATCTTTTTTTTTTTACATTGGTGAGGTCATTATTGATTCTGGTAATTTTGTGTGTTTAAACGGGTTCTGATGGAGCTGTGGTCGGATAGATGTAAGGTAAGTCGTCTGGATAGGCATGTAGGAGTGTAACCGATGGAATTTTTTATGAGTTCGGGTTTGATCAGGAACACTCTTCCTTAAGGGGCATTTGAACTCGAGTATTATTTGCGACCTGGCTTTCCTGTATTGTTTCCATAAATATTTTGATGGCATTTTTCCTAATCATCGTTTCTCCTTGGTACTTTAACTGCATGATTTTAAGCGTGAAACTAGATAGGCAACCAGGTCTCACCTTTTAACATCTGAACTAGGTTGATGTAACAAATATGTTCCGTCCTAAAGTTTACTTTCTCGCACGTCTCAACTGTGGGATCCACTTCTATTTTCTCGCATCCCAGCCACCTACACTATTCAAAAACTGAAATGTAACGCCAATCGTCGTCTTCTGTCTTTCTCAACCTTGCTCTTTTGTTACTCCTTCCACTCACTAATGTCTTCTAATTCTCTTTCACTCCGAGTCAACCGTTGTGTCTTGCGTGGGATGGAATGATCAAAAAGAAAATGTTATATACCGTACCTATGGTCACTAATGGGTATGTCCCAATCGTCATAAAGACGTTGGACACTATTGTAAGTAAGGGTAATATGCTGTATAAGTAGTCCACCACTAGCAGTGGTTTACCTATTTCACGCCGCTGGCGAGTATTGTATTTTGTATTGTATTCATTTCTAACCTTCGTTTTGGTTATTCTTCATTCAGTAACCTTTTCTAGGTTACAACACAAAATTACTGAAATTATGATAATGCCCGCCACTGGCATGGATATGCGTTTGGTGAGATGGATAACAGCTATGGATATGCACCTGTTCTCCTTGATCCATTGGTTAAGAACAGTCTGTGTTCTATAGGTTTGGTTGGCAACCAATCTATCGCAGAAAGCAACAGCAGGAGTTCTTCTACCAAATCAGTCAAGAATAAAAAAAAAAATACGATCTCCAAAGTGTACATCCCACATGACGCCTAAGAAAGAAAGGAATTCCATTTGAACCATCTTGGTTTTATTGAAAAAATGTTTTAGGGTTTTTCAGTAAATAATAAAATCTTCATTCAGACAAGATTGCAAACGTATCTTTCCATCAAACATTTGAGATACCAGGACTGATTTTATTAATGTTTTTATACGCTCGTATTTATGCTTTAGTTTTTATTCTGTGATTTCAAATAATTAAACGATCTACAATAGTGATGGATTCTGAGTCAAGAAGATGCTTGAATGATTTTGAAGCTGAGTGAAAATTTTATAAAACTATCTTATGTTCTACTGCAATTTGTTTCATCCAATAAAAAGCTCTTATTTTCATCAGAACTTGTGTTTTGTGGTATTGCATAAAATGAATATTTTGAACGAATTATGCTTTAAAAGTTTGAATAATTAAATAAGCCTGAAGCTTTCTTTTAAACTTTCTTCTATTTTATACAATTGTTCACCCAATACAGGACTCAAGAGCCACTCAATGTAGAGAGTTATTGAATGAGATTATTGAGAGGGCATAAAGAGCGGAGGAAGAGGGGGAATATTATATGGGGTGGATAACGGTAGACCCAAGACTTGAAGAGATGATCGTAGTGATCGGGGGAGCATTGTCTCGGAAGTCTGTTCCACAATGTGACAGTTCTGACGAAGAAGTTGTCTGAGCGAAACTTCTTCCTTACCAATGGAATACAAAGGGAATGCTTTTACGCCGTGTGCGTGGTATGGTCGTTCCTAGCTTTGAGCTCTTAAATGGTCAAACTAAAACATGTAGATTAAAAATTTACCATAGTAGTATCGATAGATTAGCAAGAGGTTAGCAAGGTTTCATTGAATGTATCGTGTTGGTGATGCCCAGTAAAATCATAAAATATATATTAGTGTTTTCCAGTAAATATTAAAATCTTCATTCAAACAAGATTGCAAACGTATCTTCCCATCAAATACCATGACTGATTATATTAATGTTTTTTTTACGCCCGTATTTAAGCATTAGATTTTATTCTGTGACTTCGAATAAGTAAAAGATCTATAACAGTTATGGTTTCTGAGTCAATATATTTAAATTATTTTGAAATTGAGTTAGAATTTTGTAAAATTATTTTCTGTTCTACCATATTTTGTTTCATCCAATAAAATGCTTTTATTTTTACCAGGACTTGTGCTTTTGTGGTATTGTAATCAGGCTCAGCTTCTGTAACTTTCTAGGATCAAAGCAGAAATTTTTGGTTTTTGGCTGATTTCGATGGAGAAGATTCTAGACCCGAGGGACAGAAATATCTGCAATTTTAAGATCCGACACAGAAATATAACAATAAAATTTAAATATCCTCATGGAGAAAGCCTTTTCTTTTTTTTCTGCAGGCCTGTGTTTTGTGAGAGTACTATTGCCGAAGTGTTCTCTCCTGAACTCGCATCTGTCTTTTCTGGGAAAATATCTGTAACCAAAATAGGTACATAAGTAAATGAAAGAAAGTCAGCAGAAAAGAAAGAAAGAAAGAAAGAAGCAAATAAATGAACCAACAAATACCTGGAAAGAAAAAGATAAAAAGATTAAAAGCGGAACGAAGAAAAAATAGGGAGAATAAGGGAAAAAATAATGAAATTAAGAAAAAAATTAAGAAGACAAAAAGAAAGAAAGAAAGAAAGAAAGAAAGAAACAACAAATAAACAAAAGCGTAGAAACATAAAAATAAATAAAAAAAATAGTTAAGAAAGATAAAAGTAAAGTAAGATACAAAAGGAAAAAATGTAAGAAAAAAAGAGAAAAAATTAAGAAAGAAAGAAATTAAGAAAGAGATTAAAAAGAAAACAAAAATAAAGAAAAAGTGAAATTAAAAAAGAGATTAAAAAGAAAACAAAAATAAAGAAAGAATGAAATGAAGAAAGAGATTAAAAAGAAAACAAAAACAAAGAATGAAATTAAGAAAGAGATTAAAAAGAAGACAAAAACAAAGAAAGAAAGAAAGAAAGAAAGAAACAAATAAACAAAAGCGTAGAAACATAAAAATAAATAAAAACATAGTTAAGAAAGATAAAAGTAAAGTAAGATACAAAAGGAAAAAATGTAAGAAAAAAAGAGAAAAAAGAAAGAAAGAATGAAATTAAGAAAAAGATTAAAAAGAAGACAAAAACAAAGAAAGAATGAAATTAAGGAATACATTAAAAAGAAAACAAAAATAAAGAAATTAAAAAAGTTAAGAACGATAACATTAAAAAAGATACAAATGGGAAAAATGTAGGAAAAAATCAAGAAAGAAAGAACAAAAGCAATGAATGAACAAAACAAACAAATGAAAGAAATCAATGAAATAACTAAAGAATGAATGAATGAATATCGGAAGAAAAACAATAAAATGGTGAAAAAAAAATTCCCTATGTTATTAAAAATATTTCATATAGTTTTCTTATCCCTTGTTATATCGATAAAATCCCCGGGTTCAAATCAAGCAGAAGTGCCATCGACATAAATACACCTCACCTTTGTGTATTTATTAACTTCCGTTTCGTTTGCGCTGAATACTTCCGGGTAAAATAGAAGAATAGACGAGGTCTGTAAAGCCAATAAATTGCAAATTCCACAAACACGCACACAAAGTTGAAAACATAAACAAGATAAGAAGAAAGAGCTGTCGTTCAGAAGGTGAGAAAAGGAGATAAGAGAACAATTAAATGAAGAAAGAAATTCAGATTGTTCCAGTAAAAGTATATTTAAAAAAAATAGTGTTTCCAATGGAAGCAGAGAGAAAGATTGGGAGAATAGATGGAAGCAAGGCAACGACATGTAATTAAACGTTAGAAAGACAAACAAAGGAAACGAAGAAAAGATGGAAACGAAACAAAGATGTAAATAAAAACAAAGATGGAAACGAAGACAAAGATGGAAACGATGACAAAGATGGAAACGACGACAAAGATGGAGTCGAAGACAAAAAGGGAAACGAAGACAAAGAACCAGACGAAGACAAAGATGGAAACGACGACAAAAAAGAGGACGAAGAAAAGAGGAAACGAATGAAACGACAAAATATGAGGGGAAACGAAGACAAAGATGGGAAAAAGAAGAAACAAAGATGGAAACGACGACAAAGATGGAAACGAAGACAAAGAGGGAAAAGAAGACAACGATGTAAACGAAGACAAAAAGCCAGACGAAGACAAAGATGGAAACGAAAACAAATAGGGAAACGATGACAAAGATGGTAACGAAGACAAAGAGATGCAAACGACGACAAAGATGGAAACGACGACAAAGATGGAAACGAAGACAAAGGCGACAAAGTTGGAAACGAAGACAAAGGGAAAAAAAAATGAAACTTGCAAATATGAGGGAAACGGAAACGACAAGGATGGAAACGAAAACAAAGATGGAAACGAAGACAAAGTTGGAATCAAAGACAAATAACCAAACGAAGACAAAGATGGAAACGAAGACAAAGAGGGAAACGACGACAAAGATGGAGTCGAAGACAAAAAGGGAAACGAAGACAAAGAACCAGATGAAAGGAAGACAAAGATGGAAACGAAGACAAAAAGCCAGACGAAGACAATGATGGAAATAAAGACACATAGGGAAACGACGACAAAGATGGAAACGATGACAAAGATGGTAACGAAGACAAAAAGCGAAACGAAGACAAAGAACCAGACGAAGACAAAGATGGAAACGAAGACAAAAAGGGAAACAACGACAAAGATGGAAACGATGACAAAGATGGAAGCGAAGAGAAAGAACCAGGGGAAAACAAAGATGAAAACGAAGAATTAAAGAATGGAAACGAAGACATGGTTGTAAATTTGGCAGAAGTAAGAATAGATTTCTGTGAAATGTAAGAATTACATGAACTGGATGGTTTGGCTAAATTTGGCAATGAAGTAAAAATGTTGTCTGACGCTAATAATTTTTTTATTTCAGATTAGACAGCCTTTGAGATGAAATGCCAAGCAGACAAGAATGAGCATGTTCGATATCTTTTTGCTTTTAATCAAGGTCACAAAGCTGCTCGAGACATCTGTACTGTATTCGGAGATGGCTTGGTGAATGTATTCGAATCTAAAGCTAGTAATTTCTATCGTCAAGGCATTGAACGGTTATTGGATCGTTGGCAGGGAGGTCGTAAACAATGAAGGGGAATATATTGTTGAATGATGCATCAGAACTATTGATAAATAATAAGTATTAAAATAAAATATACAAAACGAAAGAATTTATATAACAACCAAACATTTTCGGCTCGGTTTGTAGGCATGAAATCTATAGTTTCTTCTAAGGTTAATTAATGATTCCAAGATGAAATGCAAATAAGTACTAGAAATTATTTGACAAGACATTTTTGGGTGAGCGAGGTCACAATCAAGAAACTTTAAACTGGAGAATATATTTAGACATGACAGTGTCGACAATAATCAAAACTTTTGCCAAAAAACATGTTTCAAAGACATCAAATCAATAAAATAACCCCCAGGATCTCTAGCTATTAATAATAATAAAAAAAAGAAAACTTGCCTTCCATAATTAAAAGAAATGTATCTTCGAAAGAAAACCAATATTAATGCAAAAATATATCCCTGGAAAACATTTAAAACTGCTGCAAGTAATTTTATCGTCGAGACAGACAAAATATAATCAAATCAATGTTTGAAAGAGAGGCGAAAGTTATAGACTCACAAGTACATAGTAGTATATTAAATCATAAAATAACAGTTTATGCAGTTATATGGGATACTTTGCTGATCAAATGTATGTATCTGTGATTTTATAGTTTTAGATTTACTTATAAATAAAGTTTATATTCTTTTTCTATGCCTCGTATAACATCAGAACATAAGAGATTATCGCTCTCCACAAATATTTTTTTTGTCCTTTGTAGCTCTGAGTAAAGTTTGTATTTTTGCTATCTCTTCTAACATTGTTCTGCCAACCATTTATACAATCTACATAATTTAATTCAGGTAGGTTATTCACTTCTTTTCTCTTTCTCTCCTTCTTTCAATATGTCTTGTGAGTGTTAAATTTTCCAAGCCCTCTTTCCTCATTATGCGCTCTAGTATTTTCAACTATTTCTTTCTGATGCTAAGCGTCTTTTTGTTACCATTTTCTCTGAGTCGTTGCTCACATGTTCAGGCCATGGTATTCTGTGAATCCTTCCGTAGAAAGAGATTTCTGTTGTCTCATGCCTCTTCTTCATCTGTGAAGCGATTTGTTATTTACTGCCATAGAAGAGGACAAATATCCCGTAATAGTCCACTACCCTTTTTGTTTGTTCTTAACGAAATGTTCCTTTTTGCTAATAATCTGCTTACCTTTTGGTAGGTATATATCATTATTCCAACGCTCCTTCGGATTTTGGTGTCGTGTTTTACGTCCCCCAGGTAAAAATTCCTCTTAGATGTTTCAATATTTTTTACTTGCTTTTAATTTGTAATTCGCATGTTGGGCTTTTTCTTTTCTTTTTTTTCTGTCATCTTGAAATTGATAAAGGTTATATCGCACGGTCTAAATTAAAACCTGACATCCGCCAAACGATTTATAATCAATTTATCTAATAAGATTATATACGTAAAAATGAAATTCCCACGGCATACATATATATAATGAGAACCTAAAAATATAATGCCAATTTTACTTTGAAAATAACGATTTGTTTAATAGCTGCTGACTATGTGCATACGAGTTCTGAGGAAAAACTATCTGTACTTGTGCTATGGAGTAATTGATAGCGGCTTGAATTGAGGAATCGAAGTGCCGAGTTCGAATTCCAGTCGAATACATTATATTCACTTGCCAATACCCTTGGAAAAAGTATGAATCCTCTTCTTTTCCCACAGTTATGGGTAAATAGCAGGACAGACCGGTTTCTATAGCCTTGTATGGCAACTGGTCTACCGCAGAAAGAAATGAAAACCTACTGCGGGAAAAAATCTGCCTCATCAGTCATGTATCGAAAGATACATGATCGCCTAAGCGTGTATCACGCATGGCACATAACTGACTGACTGTCGTGCTAATACTTTTGGGTAAGGTATGAATCCTCTTTTCCCCCCACCTATGGGTAAATAGCAGGACAGACCGGTTTCTATAGCCTTGGATGTCAACTGGTCTACCGCAGAAAGAAATGGCAACCTACTGCGGGAAAATATCTGCTTCGTCGATCATGTATCGAAAAATACATGATCGCCTGAACGTTTATCAGGCATGACACATAATTGACTGACTGATGTGCTATTACCTTTGGGAAAGTTATGAATCCTCATCTCCCCACAGCTATGGGTAAATAGCAGGACAGACCAGCTTCTACAGCCTTGGATGGCAACTGGTCTACCGCAGAAATCTACTGCGGAAAAAAACCTGCCTCGTCATTTATGTATTGAAAAATACATGATTGCCTAAGTGTGTATCACGCATGGCACATAACTGACTGTCTTGTGCTATAAAAAAAAGAAAAGTAAACTAGAACAGACGTTAATTCGTCACGTAATCCCCTTCTGAAGACACACCCTTTTATCCAGCGTCGTTTCCAGTGATGGAAGCTTTCCTGGAACACCTTTTTTTGGGATTGCAGCTACTTCGGCTCATTCTCTTGGATTTCTTCGACGTCTTGAAATCGTGTTCTTTTCTAATACGATTTGCTTTTTGAAGCGGTAAAAATCACAAGAGGCGAGATCTGGGGAACATGGTGGTTGTCGGACGTGTACAAAATTTTGCTTGACTAAAAACTGTTGCACAAGACATAGTCACTGATGGAACCTCTGTGGGGCTATGAGACGACCACACCCTACACACTCCCATCCCAAGCACTGCTGTAAACAAAGGAAGCGATACAGAAGGTTATAACTTGGACAGAGTTCAAGGTCAATTCACATTAAGCGGCTTCACTCTGCACACTTCGCTTAACATAGCAACAGCCCCGATCCGTTTTTTTTTTATCAGACATCTATAGATATTCTAATGCTTATTATTTTTTAGTATAAAAGGTTCTGTCAAACGTTTGCTGCTACCCTGTGTAGACAACACACGTTGCCAGCAAAACGTTACATCGATTAGACAAATGAATACTTCAAAGGTAACGGAGTTTGATGAAAGTATTTTTCACACGCTCAGATCCACCCTATATATATATATATATATATATATATATATATATATATGTGTGTGTGTGTGTGTGTGTGTGTGTGTGTGTGTGTGTGTGTGTTTACTAATTCCTCGTAGTGTGACAGTGTAGGGCGAATATACGCACGCATATATACACGCATGCTGAGAGAAACACACGAAAATGGAAACAGATCCAAGAACACACAGGGGTCATTAAAACATTAAAAGATAAAATGCCGATAACTAATTCATCATTTCTCTTGGATCAACCTTAATTGTTTTATGACTCTTCGCGCAGAATTCTTTACTGTCAATTCAAGAAAAACATTCGGATTACTAACACAAAAACAGAGAATGTCTCATATCAAGAATATTTAACATTGAAAAACAAAGGAAAAAAATTAATTATTTTTAATAATATGTGGAAATCTCCGCCTTTTACCTGAAGACGGCCGCGAAACCAGAAACTCGTGTAGTAAAATTATGGAAAATAAAGCATAATACTTTTTTAAAAAAAATCTACATTACAACGAAAAACGTTTTCGGTATCTCGGTCTCTTCTATTTTATGTGTGTGTGTGTGTGTGATTTCATATATATATATATATATATATATATATATATATATATATATATATATATATATATATATATCTTTTACTAATACCACTGGTTGATCTAAGCCTTGTGGGTGAAATTGGGTAGACGGAACGCTTGGGAGGCCGTCGATAGCTGTGATAGGACGAAGTCACAAGTCATCATGGCCGAGGGCTTGAGCGTGCTGAACTTGTTCAAATTGTGGATCACGCTAGATCACACGCTCTCTCTCCGAAATTGTAACTAAGGTCTACTCAGCATAATTGCAGTTTAAACCACAGCTGGGCACTGTGGGTGTTGAATAAACACAAATGCGCCTGAGCGAGCGTCTGCAATAGGGATTGGCTAGCCGCCCTAGTAGACGGGTATTCTCGAATAAGACTGGCCAGCTATACTGCAACTAATACGACAGCTGTGTGATTGGGCATATTTTTGGTGTTGAAGTATCATTATGACTAACCCATAGCGCCGTCGAAGTATTTTACGATACCACTAGAATTGTGCCTGGCGGCGTGACAAATGTCAGATATAGTTGCAGTCTCTCATATTATTGTAGACACAATTTCCTAATGTTCATAAGCTCAGAAATAAAAAGTATATTGAAAGATGTGAAATATAAATTAGCAGTTTGAATATTTTAAGATGATGTCAAAACGCTTAACGCTGAAGACAATATCAAAACACTTAGAATTGAAAACAGCATAAAGATTCTTAGCGTTGATGACAATATCACAACACTTACAGTTGAAAACAATAACAAATCATTTAGAACTGAAGTCAATGCCAACTAATTAGCGTTGAAGACAATGTCAAAACACTTAGTGTTGAAGACAATGTCAAAACACATAGTGTTGAAGACAATGTCAAAACACATAGTGTTGA